GAGCTCCAGTTGGAAATACCTGGGCCAGAGGGTTTGAAGGGAGAGCCAGGGGGTGTGGTCATAATGCAGCTTTTGTACCTACAGGAAAGACCGTGGAAGATTATAAGACAAATGCCCTACTTTGCTGGCAAGGTTATAAGATGTATATGGACTCCATTGAAAAGGATTGGTGTGACTGGACCGTGATTAGCAGGTAGGGGCAGTGCTGAAGGGGACTCAGGCTAGGGGTTGAACCCTAAGTGGGTTTGGAGTAAACCTCCTCTTCCTGGACCCAACCCCTCCCTTACTCCATTCCTCTACTGCCCTGCAGGCCTTATAGTGAACTTCGGGATTGCTTGGAGCATGAGGCGGAGGAGTTTGGCCTGGGCTTCCCCAATCCCTGGGCAGAGAAGATCATCTTTGATACCCACCTGATTCACTTTGCCAACTGCTCCCTGGTGCAGCCCAGCTTCTCTGATCCCCCGGAGGATGTGCTCTTGGCCATGATCATAGCCCCCATCTGCCTCATCCCCTTCCTTGTCACTCTTGTGGTATGGAGGAGTAAAGACAGTGAGACCCAGGCCTAGGGTAGCCTGAACTTCAAAACCTTCATGTTACTTCTCTCTCCTCCCCTCCCTACCCACTTTTCTCACTCTCACACCCACTGCAAATCCTTGGATTGGTGGAAATGGAGGTGAGTCAGCATCATGGCACAAGTTCTGTAATCTTCAAAATAAAATTTCTGTTTTTTTGTACAATGTCCCCTACCCCATTCAAGTGGTGCCTGTGTCCACAGTCACTGCCAGTCCCACAGGCACTCAGCTCTGGGTAGAGGAGCTGGAAGACTCTAGATGGCTTCACTATTCTGTTCACTTCACCTGCCCCCACCCTCACATGAAAGCCATACCCCTATAGTTCTTCCTCCCAGGGAGGAGCCTTTCCTGCCTCTGTCCAAATCCAGCTCCAGGAAAGGAGCAGGAAGAGACTCCCTTCCGGTCTGGACAGCAGCTGGGAGCCTCTGATTGAGAATGTGGTGGGGGGAGGGGCAAGGGTAGAATCTTTAGCAAGAAAAAAGGGTGGCTACCTGGAAGCCCCTACTTCTCCCCTTCTTCATGCCTCAGTTTACTCCCAGAACCTGGGAAGCAGAAACCTGACAAGCGAAGGGAATCAATCCCTAAGGACCTCCAGATTGATGCCAAAGGCAGTGGGGGCTTCCTCAGCTAGGCTCACCATTCCCGCTCCAGGTCATTGGCTTAGATCCTACAGTGTCCTGGACAGGGTGTGGCCTATAGACTGGCCACACACTGCCCTCTGGTGTCTACTAAACCAACGACCAGAAGATGTATATGATGTGGAAGAAGCTCAAGGCGGAGGAGCATTTGGATCCTGGGGTCAGAGAACTGTCCTCTCTGTAGTAGCCACTGACTTTTAGCTTGATCTTTTATCCGATTCCTGAGACATATCAATATGATATTTCACCTTGATATACTGTTATACTTTCTAGGGACTTACCTAGCCCTTATATGCAACTCACCATTTCTGTTTTTGTTTTGGTTCTGGGGGATTGAATCCAGAAGTGCTTTACCACTGAGCTACATCCTTTTCATTTATTTTTGAGACAGGGTCTCATTAAGTTGCTGAGCCTGACCTCAATTTTGCCATCCTCTTGCCTCAGCTTCCCAAGTTACTGGGATTACACTGAACTGTCTAACTCACCATTTCTTTTTTTTTTAATATTTATTTTTTAATTTTCGGCGGACACAACATCTTTATTTGTATGTGGTGCTGAGGATCGAACCCCGGCTGCACGCATGCCAGGCGAGCACGCTACCGCTTGAACCACATCCCCAGCCCTCACCATTTTTTTAATATTATTATTTTTAATTTTTTAGTTGTAGATGGACACAATATCTGTATTTTATTTATTTATTTTTATGTGATGCTGAGGATTGTACCCAGTACCTCATGCATGTGAGGAAAGCACTCTACCACTGAGCTACAGCCCCAGCCCAAACTCACCATTTCTTATATGAACAATGTTTCCTGGTTAATAAGGGTTCTCACTATGGAATCCTCATCTCCAGCCCTTGCTTGGACTCACCTGCCAGGTCACTAAAAACAATTACAACTTTGTTCTCCATGGAGACACTGTTTATTCCTGTGGCACACTTGGCTACCTTAGAAACTTTCCTTCTTGTTGAAATATCTGCCTCTCCGAATACATGCATGTCCATTTCCTGGGTCATGCCTCTCTATGCCATAGATATATGTCCGTGTTTCCTGGCATGTACCTATTCCCAGAGACATACTTCTTTCAGAAAACACTTGTCCCTATAGAGACATATCTGTTCCCTAAGGATACATATTTTTAAAGATGTTTCTTTTTTATATCTTTATGTTATTTATTTTTATGTGGTGCTGAGGATGGAACTTAGTGCCTCACATGTGCTAGGCAAGCACTGTACCATTGTGCTACAACCCCAGCCCTCCTAAGCTATTGTGAGGTTTCAGCTGAAATAAATATTTGCTGTATCTCTATGAATACAACCATCTTCCCCAAGAATATATCTACTTCTTCTTGGCACATATTTGCTTTTACCAAGTTTTATTGATTTACATCTGGGGGCTATTGGTATAAGACACTGTGTATGGTGTGGCTGTTGGAAAGGTAGGTTAGAATCTGTTCTGCCCTCAGTGGCTTTTATCTAGTGGGAAATTTGACATATGTACACATAAAAATGATGGAATATGTAATGAGAGACATGTAAGCAATACAACCCAAATTTTATTCAAGTGCAAAGGAAGGAGGGAATCACACTTAGCTGAAACCATCACAGGTGTGGTCACAGAAGGGTGTTTGCTGAGTTGGGATATGACAAGGCCTTAGATGGAGTGCATTCTTGAAGGGGAAAGAGTAGAAAGAGAGATAAATTAGGAAATCATCACAGTAATCCAAGCTTGAAAAATGAAGACATGGCCGGGTGCAATGGCACACACCTGTAGTCCCAGTGGCTCAGAAGGCTGAGGCAGAAGGATCCTGAATTCAAAGCCAGCCTCAGCAAAAGTGAGACGCTAAGCAACTCAATGAGACCCTGTCTCTAAATAAAATTCAAAATAGGGCTGGGGATGTGACTCAGTGGTCGAGTGCCCATGAATTCAATCCCTAGTACCCTCCCCCAACAAAAAAAACCTCAGGGGAGCAGGGATGGGGTTGTGGCTTGGTGGTTGAGTGCTTACCTAGCACGTGCGAGGCACTGTGTTCAATCCTCAGCATCACATTAAAATAAATAAATAAAATAAAGTTAAAAAAAAAAAGGAGTAAACCAGTAGGACTTGGATATGGCGGGGATAAAGGAGAGAGAAGTTAGGGGCAACTTAAACATTGAACTTGAGTTATTAGAATAATGATAGCAGTAATAATAGAAGAGGACCATTAGGAGGAGGAATTGGCCTGAAGAAAAGGATGTGCAATATGAGGAAACAGTGGAACAAGCTGTTATGTCCCACAAAGAATTAGAAATGGGGTTCAGTGGGAAAAGGTTAGATCTGGAAATAGAGGTTTGAGAGTCTTCAGCACAGAAAGGCAATATGAACCCACAGGAGGGATAAGAGCTCTAAGAGATAAGGTGTATTGAAAAGAAGGTTGAGGGCCTGGGGCTGTAGCTCAGGTGGAGTGCTGGCCTAGCACGAGTGAGGCCCTGGGTTCTATCCTCAGCTCCACATAAAAATAAATAAATAAAATAAAGGTATTATGTCCAACTACAACTAAAAAATTAAAAAAAGAACCTCCAAGGAAATGTCCACCTTTGAAGAATGAGGGGAAAATGGAGACAGAGATAAGATCAAAGAGGTAGTCATAGAAAAAAGCATCAAAGAGGCCAAGAAAATGGTGGTCTCTGAGGAAGCTGATAAATTCATTCGTTCAGCAAATATTTGCTGATTGATTAGGGTTGGGGTTGTGGCTCAGCGGTAGAACGCTTGCCTAGCATGTGTGAGGCCCTGGGTTCGATCCGCAGCACCACATAAAAATAAATAAATAAAGATATTGTGTCCAACTAAAAAATAAATATTAAAAAATAATAATTAAAAAAATATTTGTTGATTGCTCTGTGGACCATAAACTATGCCCAATGATGGACTGGTGTGAAATAAAGGTTAAAGATCAGACAGGAAATTGAGGTGACAGGATTAAGGGTATGCATATATTTAAATAGGGATGGCCTAAACATGTTTGTGTCCTAAAGGAAAGGAACCAGGGAAAAGAGAGACAGAATATTAAAGAGAAGTCCTGAAGGAAGTTGGAAAGGTGAGGTGAGAAGACAGGTCTAAGGGTGACTCTTGTAAAAGAAGGAGTAAAAGTGGTGAGGAATCTTTGTATGAATCAAATATAGTGACAAAGAGAGAACGACTAAAGGGTTCACATGCCTGACCTCAAACTCATAAAATAGGGAAAAAAGAGGATGGGGGTGGGGGGCATAGAGCAACAATTCTGGTTTGGGAACTGACCAACTGTGTAAGGAGGCAGATAACATCAAAAGGGTTCCTGGAACTTGAGACTAGGAGGTTGAGGACTTGGGTGAGGTGAGAAAGATAGCAGCCCTGTCTTTGGAAGCAGAGCTGTCTCTAGTGATACAACTTACAAAGACGGAGACTGAGGAACGGTGGAGTCAAAGACACAGGAATCAAAGAGATTGTAAAATCGTGGGGAGTTTTAATTAAATGGTAACTGACATGCATGTTAATATTAAAAGGTGCGTAGTACAGTGGAACTAAGTCTAGAGACCTGGGTTCTACTGGTGTTCTACTAACAAACTATGCTGCGTTGGGGAACTCACTTCCCTTTTCTGACATCGAACCAGAAGACTTCATAAGGCTCTTTCTGGTCTAAAAGATAAAGCTTTTAAGGATAATGGCAGAGGACTGGCTGATCACAGAAAGCCCTTCCGTCGGGCCGTCAGTCTCCTAGAAGGTGTCCGGAACCTTTCTGCTGTGCCTCCTGCCCGGACGTGCTGATGCGGATGCCGGAAGTCCCGTGTGCGGAGGTTCCGTGTTTTCTGGGCTACTACGATGGCGATGAGTTTCGAGTGGCCGTGGCAGTACCGCTTCCCGCCCTTCTTTACGTGAGGCTGGGACCCCGAGAAGCCCCGCTGTACCTTCCCCTCTCCTCCCCGGGGCCCTGGGCTCAGTCCTGATGCATCACTTGGGTGGGGGGTGTAGAAAGGATCCAGCCGCTATCATTCTTAGTTCCCCACGTTTCTCCTCCAGACGCGCCCAGGGGCAAGTGCTGCCTCTAGCGTCCTGTAATTCTGCACTCTACTCCCTCCACCCGGCAGGTTACAGCCGAACGTGGACACTCGGCAGAAGCAACTGGCTGCCTGGTGCTCGCTGGTCCTGTCTTTCTGCCGCCTGCACAAACAGTCCAGCATGACGGTGATGGAAGCGCAGGAGAGCCCACTCTTCAACAACGTCAAGCTACAGCGTATCCTCCCTCAGGCTCTTCTACAGCCCACACACATGCACTTCCACACTTTTCCACAAGTCCGGACTTCACCTCCCTCCCACTTTCCCCACATTAGGTAGGTTTCTACCCAAACTGAACTTGGAAAACAGCGAGAGCCTTCGTTTTACCTCCCAGGTGTAGTACCAAACCCTCCTGTCCTTGACAGCGATTAGTGCTCCAATCTTAGAATCTCTGCCTTGAAGCCAGATGCCAAGCGTTTCAACCAGATCCCATTTTGACAATTTAAATCTTCTCTGTTTTCTCTGTGTGAGACTCAAACTCGATACTATCTTTAATAATTTTCTCCACTCACCCCACTTCTCTGAAGTGAGGATCATTTGTTTTTGCTGCCTGATTCACCCCTTAAATATCTATGGAGAGAGGATGAAGAAAGATGAGAACACAGGATGAGGAACAGTAGTACCTTTCATTTTCGAAAGCTCTTCTTTCTAACTGGAATTTTTTTTTTTAACCTTTCTTCCTAGAATATCTAATTTGTGAGGGTCAATCCCCAGTACTGTGAGGGGGAAAAAAAAGTGTCAGAATATCCAGGAAATGCCTTTTTTTGTTGTTGTTATTGTTGTTGTTCTAGAGATTGAACCTTGGCGTGCTTAACCACTGAGCCATATCCCTGTCCTTTTTATTTTTTATTTTGAGACAGGCTCTTCCTATGTTATAGAGGCTGACCACAAACTTACAATCCTCCTGTCTCAGTCTCCTAAATTGCTGAGATTATAGTTGTGTATTCAAATCCAATTATATCTTGTCCAGAAATTGCAAGCATGTTTGTGGGGAGAGGAAAGGAAGGTGGTTCTTAGCATGGGATTAGCTCTGAGAATTATTATCCAAGCCAATTCAAATGTATGCCTTTCCCTTAACCTTAAACCAGGGAAACTTCCTGTGGAATCAATTCAGATTGTGTTAGAGGAACTAAGGAAGAAAGGTGGGTTCAAGTCCCCAGATTTCTTATTTTTCTTCTTACTTGGGTTTTCCTGAGGGCAGATTAGGACATATCTTTTCCCTTTAGTAATTTTTCTGTCCCTTGCCTGCAAGCCCAGAGCACTCTGTACACTTGACAACCTCGTTCCTGAGTCTTTCCCCTCATTTGTGTACAAAATTGAAATGTCTGAGATGGGCTAAGGAGAATGGGTGCCTTGTAGATAGTAAAATATTATTCTGAAAGCAGTCTCTTCCACTCTATCCCACCCTAGTAGTCCTCCTTGTTTTTTTTTTTATATTTATTTTATAGTTATAGTTAGGCACAATACCATTATTTTATTTATTCATCTTTATATGGTGCTGAGGATCAAATCCAGGGCCTTGCATGTGCCAGGCATGTGCTCTACCGCTGAGCCACAACCTCGGCCTTCCTTGTCCCTCTTATAGAGCATGATGCATTCATAAGTGTCTGTTTTTACAGGGAATCTCGAGTGGTTGGATAAGAACAAATCTAGCTTCCTGATCATGTGGCGGAGGCCAGAAGAATGGGGGAAACTCATTTATCAGTGGGTGAGACCATCTTGCTGCCAAGTACTAAGAAGTGACCCATGGCAAAAGAAAATTTTACCTGTGCCCAAACAGATATCTTGTATTCCCAGATTCAGACTTGGCAAAGTGGGAAAGGGACAGAGAGGAAGTGTAGGCCTTCCATGCAAACACCCTCAGTGACTCAATTTCTCTGGCTACATAGAACCTCCCTTTCTTTGGCTGTAGGAGGCCAGAGGGTACATGAGGCCATGTTTAGAGAATGCAGTACTGGGAACTATAAGTGCTATTGTGGGCTGGAGCCTCTGGCCACAGGAGATAAATGGGGAAAGGAAGGGTGGTGGTGGGGGGAGAACCTGGGGCCCTTCCCCCACTGCACTCTTATGGAGCTATCCACATGAATGAGGCTTTCTGAAGGAGTGTGGGTTTAGGGACAGAATACACTCTCTCCCCAAATTCCTAGCCACCACCAACCCCAAACATTCCCAAGGGAGAAAGGAGGGGAGGAAGCATCAACAACCCAAATATAACAAGCACACACCACCCATTCCTGAAACAGGAAAACAACCAGAGTGAGAGGTCACTCTCCAGGCACGTGAAGGCCTGTGGTTTAGTGGTTTTAAATGTGTGTGTACATATATAAATATAGCACCTGTTGGATTGTGGGTTTTGGGCCACTCTGCAGAAGTGACCATAAGTTCTGGATTGGGAATAAGTACCATTCATGGATGAAAGCAGTAGAGCTGTGAATTTACCTTCTCTCAGGAGTCTCTTAATTCTTATTTAACCTCATTTTCTGTGTCTACAGGTTTCCAGGAGTGGCCAAAATAACTCTGTATTTACCCTGTATGAACTGACCAATGGGGAGGACACAGAGGATGAGGGTAAATGCCTTTTCCTTCTTCAATTTTATCATCAGAAACCTTCTCTCTCCAATCCTACTTTGATTTCTATGCCTCTGAATTCCACAATACAAAAGTTCTTAACCCATATCCAAAGATTTCATACAAAAAAACTCGCATCCAACCCCCCCCCACCCAAAACCCTAGTATTGTTTATGGGGGTATATGTGCTTTTTATTTTTGGTTCCAGGGATTGAACCCAAGGGCACTTAACCACTGAACCATATACCTAACCCTCTTTTTTTTTTTTTTTGTGGTGCTGGGGATTGAACCCAGGGTCTTGTGCATGTGAGGCAAGTACTTTACCAACTGAGCTATATCCCTAACTCCCTAACCCCTTTTTTATATTTTATTTAGAGACAGGGTCTCACTGAGTTGCTTAGGATTTTGTTAAGTTGCTGAGGCTGATTTTGAACTCATGATCCTCCTGCCTCGGTCTCTCTGGCTGCTGGGAGGCAGGAGGATCGTGAGTTCAAAACCAGGTGCCTCTCCCTAGCTGCCACCATGCCTGGCTATATGTTCATTTTTCTAGGGATAGACTTAACATTACAAGATTTCCAGGGCATGTATTACCCATGAAAAGTTAAGAATTACTGCTGTAGATGCCAGTTGAGGAGCCAGCATGGGGGATTAAGCCTGAACTCTTGTTCCTTGCTGACTCAGGCTCTCTTTCACCCTTTATTCTTTTAGAGGGCTCAAGATTTGTGGGTGTCAGCTAAAGGAATTGGGCCAACACCCCCAGCCCCACCCCCAACCCATTTAAATACTTTGTTTTTTGGCCAGGCAAGGATTTGTAGTCTCTTTGATTCTTACATAGTGTAAACACTTTCTTAGTTTTTTTCTCTCTGACTCCTTATCCTGATCCCCAGGATCACCAAACATTCCAGTCTTTACTGGGGCAACAGGGGGTACCTCCCTTTCTCTTAGTTCCTGGATGCTTCGGCAGAGTTTACTACTCTTGGCTGTTCCACTGCCCTGCAGGCCTCTGCTTGCTACTCCCACCATCACCCCATGACTTCAGTGCTGTAGCCTGGCCCAGTCCATCATTCAGGCTGGGCAAAGCTGGAGCCTTCTTCTGAATGCAGTCTCCCTGACTTGAGCTGGGCCCATGCAGGAGGTGAGGTGAGCAAGCCTGTCAGGGCTTGCCTGGTGCCTCTCACATTTCCCTGCAATATCTTTCCATATCTCTATACTCAGCTGGCCTTTGGCTCCTAGCTCTGTCCCTTTCAACTAAGAAGGATATCAGTGCTGGACTTTAACAGTCTCTAGTGAGGGCTAGTGGCTGTACTTTTTTGTGTTAAGACAGACCCTAATTTGTTCAAATATGCAGTTAGAGTCAGTATCTGGTGACAAGGGCCCTGGCTTCCAGAGGGCTGATTGGCAGGGCCCCTTCTTTGTGCCCCAAAAGCAGATGGTGTCATTCACGTGCATCAGACACTAATGGGAGCAAGGGACAGGAGGGCTGTGGGGGCTGGGGTTACAGGAGAACCAGAGAGGAGGAAATAAGCCTGAACTCACTTTTTGCTGACTTAGGCTTTCTTCTGCCCTTACTTTTTTTTTTTAATATAGTGATAATAGGTATATTAATTGGCTTGATTGCAACAATCATTTCACAATGCACATGTATATAAAAATATCAAGTTGTACAACTTATACAATTTTTATGTCAATGATATCTTAATGAAGTTGTTATAAATAAAAATGTTAGTAATGCCCACAACATTCAGAACTACATAATAGGGAAGACTGGCAGATAGATATAATCTCTGAATTTTGCAACAGGGGTAAGATTAGGGGAATGGGAGGTGATTTATCAGGTATTGTCCTTAAGAAATGGCCTGCCACCCTTACTCTTAAGGAGTGCCCAGTAAATGTGGGTGGCGTATGCAGTAGTGTAGATGGCATGTGAATACCCTGGCTCTGGAATGTCTCAGTTTCCAGTTTGGCTGTTCTCTTCAGTGCACCTAGGAACTGAACCTCCCTAATTGTCCATCTCTTCCTGTCCAGAGTTCCATGGTCTGGATGAGGCAACCCTACTTCGGGCTCTGCAGGCTCTACAGCAGGAGCACAAGGCTGAGATCATCACCGTCAGCGATGGCCGTGGTGTCAAGTTCTTCTAGAAGAGACTTGTCTCTCTTTACTTCTTACCTCCCACCCTTCTAGGGCTTTCAAAAAAAGACAGACTTAGTATCCCCACAGACTGGATCTGTGACTTCACTAGATTTAAAAGGGCTCTAGTCCTGAAGGCTGAGCCCCAGGGATGAGTATCCTGCTACCCCATATGTCTGTCCCTGGGATGGGTGAGTCCAAGGTGCCAAGGAGAAAAGATATGCTTCTTTGTGCCCTACCTCCTCTCCCATCCTAGACTGTCCCTGAGCCAGGGTCTGTAAACCGACACTTTACATGTGTCCACACAAGTAAGTACATATACATATGCATCTGCACAAGTTTCTGTCTCCACCTTGCTGCTGTTGCCTCCTTTCTCAGGCTGATGCTTGGTCCTTCCTAGGGAATGAGAAGCCCTGGCTGCAGGCAGCCTTCCAGGCAATATGAAGATAGGAGGCTCCAGAAGGGACCTGGCCATGAGAGGCAGGTCTGACCCTGATTTATGATATTAAAATCTTAAATCTTACTGCCTGCATGTTAAGTCACTGTTGAAATGAGGTTGGAGAGGGCTGTAAGGTGTTCCGCCTCAGCCCAGGGGAAAAAAGAAGGCCTGTGGACTGGGCCCAGCAGGCTCCAATGAGCTTATGGTTTCGCATCTGTTGTGTGGGCTGTGTGGATTGCTGATGGAACACAGCTTGAGGAAAAACTGCTTGATCTCTGAAATGGAGTGGCATAATGGCTCCCTCTTCCCTCACCATCTCCCGCATGAAAATCCTGAACTACTCTGAAGCCCCTCCCTCCACTCATCTGGTCTGGGTGGGGTGGTTATGGCCAAGAGGAGCTAAGGGGGGTAAACCGGATGTGGACTTCGGTTTATTGGAGACTTTGGCAAACAGAAGGAGGAGGAAGAAGCCCATAGCAAAAACAGCCACTCTGGCCAGGACCAGGCTGCGGCCAAGGTGGGGTAGAGTGGATGAGTGATCAAGCCCTTGGTTTAGAGGAGGGCCTTGTCCTGGGTGCTCACACCCATCCTTGTGCATACCAGAAGGACAACAGAGTTGGAGAACCATACTTTTCCACTGACCTCTATGTTCGGCCTGGGGCTACTCCAGATGATTAGAACCGAGCAGTGTTTCCTTATCTGGGGTGTGCAGGCGGGTAGTGGCCTCCCCCAACCACCCCCCACACACTAGGGTCCGGCCCGGAGCCTTTCTCTGTTTGCTCCAGTGTCTTCCAAGCCCCGCCCACCCCCCGCCCCCGACCTTACCCCCCAAGGCAGTCCACTCCCAGCAGTGAACCGCACCGCGGCTCCCACCCCCCGGAGTATCCCTCCTAGCCTCAGCAGCCGCCAGCGCCCCCGGCAAAACAGGTTTGCGCACGCAGTGCGGGAGAACACACTGCCGCCTTACACTCCACCCTTGCCAGGAATTGAGGTAGAAGGCTAGTGCTCGGAGACCGCACGCAGAGGGGGTGCACTGGCAGCTGCTGAGGCTAGGAGGGATACTCCGCGGGTTCAGAGCCGCGGTGCGGTTCACTGCTGGGAGTGGACTGCCTTGGGGGGTAAGGTCGGGGGCGGGCGCTAGGCGGGGCCGGGGGCGGGGCCGCGAGTAGGCAACCCGGGCTTGGGGCCCCTACAGTTCAGCCGGATAGCTGCGCACCCAGCTAGTCAGCCTGTCAGGCAGCCTCCCCTTGGTCGTCGGGCTTGGTCAGCGGCGCCCGGTCCTTCCCCATGCTGGCACCTCGGACCACGGAGAACGCGGTCCCCATGTCCCAGACCGAGGCTGACCTAGCTCTGCTGCCCCCGCCGTCTCTCTCCACTACGGGGCCACCCCGCATCGGGCCCCCTCCTCGCAGAGCACGCCGCTTCTCCGGGAAGGCTGAGCCCCGGCCTCGCTCTTCCCGTGTCACCCGCCGCAGCTCAGTCGACTTGGGTCTGCTGAGCTCTTGGTGCCAGCCAGCGACACCCGTTCCGGAACCTCCTGATCCTCCTGACTTTGCTCCTCCGGGCCCCTCGAGTAGCCCACCACCTTGCTTCAAAGAGCTCCCCGAGGGCACGCGGACCGGGGCAGCCCCTGTGAAGACTGTGGATTCAGTGCATCCCGAGTTTACGGGATCTGAAGGAGGCTCACGGTCTGGGGAGCCGCCGAGAGTCTCAGATGCTGCAGCCAGGGAGCGACAGCGGGAGCAAGAAGAAAAGGAGGACACAGAGACCCAGGCTGTGGCAACATCCCCAGACGGCCGATACCTCAAGTTTGACATTGAGATTGGACGTGGCTCCTTCAAGACAGTGTATCGAGGGCTAGACACTGACACCACGGTGGAGGTGGCCTGGTGTGAGCTGCAGGTGCGGCTGGGTGCCCCCTCTGTGGCACCTCGGGATGGGACCTTTTGGAGGTATTAGGATGGGAGACTGGGCAGACGGCATTAAGGGAAGGATGTATTTTTCCTGCTGAATGCCCAGAAATCCCTGCCCTTGCTGAGATATCTGGCTGACTGGCTGGACTCAGGAGAAATAGGCAGATAGTATATAGTAGCTCCCCAAGGGGCATGGACATTCTCATTTTAAAATCTCTCTGCAAATCCCTGACAGTTGGAAATTAGGATGGGAAATAGGATGGGGGCGCCAGTTCAGATCTGGGAGGGGACACCCTACCAATTTCCTTCCCTGAATACCCACAATCTTTCCCCATCGTTTCTCTGTAAGTCCTGAGACTTTCCGTTGTGACCCTGAGCCTTTTGCTCCCCCTTCTCCTCTGCTGAACAAAAGACTGGGATGCTAGAGATCAGGAGCTGGGTCAGGGTCCTCTCCTCTTCATCTCCAGAAGGATTTAGGGCAGTTTCCACAGAATGTTTCTTTCCCAGGCTGCTTCTGGAGTAGTGGGGAAGGCCTGAGAACAGGAAGCTCCAGCCTTGGCCTGAGTTTTAGTCCTGCTTCTCATCCCTCCGCCTACCTGGGTTCTTTCTTACCAGACCCAAAGGCTCTAAGCTCTTGGACTTCAGGAAGATGTTGGTTGGCAGAACTATCTTCCTATTGCTACTCTTCTGCATATGCATGGGGAGAACCCAGTTGACTCTGGTCAGAAGCTTCAGATTCAGATTGGGGGACAGAGCCTGGGGGAAGGTTCCCTTCACTTTGGCCCTGGCACTGGGCTCACCTCTTGCGCCTGCCAGTGCCGCGCCCCAGGCTCTAGGCCAGGCCAACAGAGGAGGCCAAACCCGGGTACGGGAGGGAGAGGAGAGGGGGGCGGGGCAGCCATGGTGGTGGTGGGGAAGGGCTCCTGGCGCCTGGTCTTGGAGTTTTTCGTTCTCTATACGTCCCTCTGCAACCTCCGCCTTCTGTCTGAATCTAGCAGTTCCCAGTATCTGGGGCCAAACCCTTGACGGCCCCAATTCCCTGCCTGAGGTCCGCCTGCTGCCAGCCCCCGAGGCACCCCTCCCGCCCCACGGCAGGCCCGGGAGGCCACAAAGGCGCTATTGAGCTCAGGGCTCCTGGACCGGGCTGCATAAAGGCGCTTGTGTCCAGCAGGGGGTCCAAGGGGCGGCCCCAGGCCTAGGATGGGTGTGTTCTTGGAGCAAACCTAAGGGACTGACAAGGAGTTTGGGTCTACAGTCCGTTGGGCTAACTATCCCATCATCCCGATCCCATCCATGGACTCCATCACCCTTTCCCCCTGCTCCACTCTAGGTGCCCCATCCTTCTCTGGGCCTAATGGGATCCCATTCGCTATTCCACAGACTCGGAAACTGTCTCGGGCTGAGCGGCAGCGCTTCTCCGAAGAGGTGGAGATGCTCAAGGGGCTGCAGCACCCCAACATCGTCCGTTTTTATGACTCCTGGAAATCGGTGCTGAGGGGCCAGGTTTGCATCGTGCTGGTCACAGAACTCATGACCTCGGGCACACTCAAGACGTGAGCTCTGGCCGGGGTGGGAGGGGAAGGGTGGAACATCTCCTCACTGTCTCCCCACTGCTTCCTGAACTTTCCCAGGTTGCACAAATTTTTTACATCCAGGTCCAAAACCAGGCTCACCGTCTCCCATCCAACCTACCTATGTTCCTGCCTGGATGAATAGCAATGTCCACCCAGGACTCCAGTCAAAATCTTAGGTGTCTTCCCAGACATCTCACTCTCTGCTACATCCTCACCTTCATCAGTACAGTCTCCAAGTTCCTCCTCAGTATCTCCACACTGGGCTTTTCCCACCCCATCCTTCCCTGCAGCAGTATCCTAAAGGGCCTCACTTGGCTCTGCCCTCCCTCTGAGCTTTCCTAACTTCCTGCAACCCGGAGGATCTTTCCTAGGTTTCCCATGTCCCTGGGGGTAATGTCCATACTGGCTAACCCATTTCCAAAATCCTTAGGATTCAGCCTCCTCTGCTTTCAGCCAAAGATCCAGACTTCCAGAATTCTCAGGAACTCCTCCCACCCTCCCCTGTCACTTGCTTTGTCCCTTCCTTTGAGCGCAGTGTCCTCTCTGCCTGGAAAGTCTCCATCCCTTACCCTTTTCACACTTGAACTTCCTCTCCTGCAAGATACAAAAGTTTTTCCTCTGTGAAGCTTTCCCCCATGCTTGGGACAGTTAGTCAGTCCTTCCCACAAACACTTTGGCTGTGGCCCTATCTATTTATCATCAGACCCATTTTGTAATCTCATGGCTATCTACCACACCCAACTTAGTTTCTCCCAGGGACCTAGTGTGGAGCTAAGCTAGAAAAAGGCTGGTAGAAGGTGCAGAGGCAAGGGTGGGATGAAGGCGAACTTCTCAGTGGGAGCCCTTCCCCTGCTTACTTTTCCTGCACCACGGCCCTGGTTATGCACCCTTTCCCAGGTACCTGAGAAGGTTCCGCGAAATGAAACCAAGAGTCCTTCAGCGCTGGAGCCGCCAAATTCTCCGGGGGCTTCATTTTCTACACTCCCGGGTCCCCCCTATACTGCACCGCGATCTCAAGTGTGACAACGTCTTCATCACAGGCCCTACAGGCTCTGTCAAAATCGGGGACCTGGGCCTGGCCACGCTCAAGCGCGCCTCCTTCGCCAAAAGCGTCATTGGTGCGTCCTTCCAGGCGGGTCCTTGCCATTAATATCTCCCCCACGTCAGAAGAGAAATGGGATCCTCCCTTCCCTAGCAGAGCTTTAGAGATACACGAATTAGGAGCCCACCGGGGAATTGGGGAGACCTATGGCATCCCTCCCACACACATTATAGGCAAGGGTTGGTCACTTGCATTTCAGAACTCCTGGGTTTGCCCCTGCACTTCCTAGCCCATGATATGCCCATGTGGAGGGATGAGGTCAGAAGGAAGATTTGGCAGCCTGATCCTTGTTGTGGATCCTGCAGGGACCCCGGAATTCATGGCCCCCGAGATGTACGAGGAAAAGTACGATGAGGCAGTGGATGTGTACGCGTTTGGCATGTGCATGCTGGAGATGGCTACCTCAGAGTATCCCTATTCAGAGTGCCAAAATGCTGCGCAAATCTACCGCAAGGTCACTTCGGTGAGAGGGGTGCGGCTAGGGGAGAAGGG